GAGGCAGGAGAATTGCTTGAACCCAGGAGGTGGAGGTTGCATGAGCATAGATGGTGCCACGGTGCTTCAGCCTGGGCAACAGGGCAGAATCTGTTTCAAAAAATAAAAATAAAAATAAAGAAAAAGCGTATTGAATTATCTTTGATTTCTAACCCTCTTATTCCTTCCCTAGTCAGTGAATTACCAAGTGTTATTGATTCTTTTATAATGTATCTGCCATTAGTCTCTCCCTTTCCGGTGCCTTTGTTTCAGCTGATTCTATCCCTTCATGCCAGGATTATCACAGTATTTTTTTCCCTAACTAGTTTCCACGGTCTCTGGTGGTTTTTTTTTTTTCCGAGTCACCCTCTTATTATGCTAGATTAAATACCCTAAAACACTGCTTTGTATAAAGGATTCATTCATTTATCCAAAGCCCTAAGACAATAGTTTGCATAAAGGATTCATTCATTGGACAAATATTTGTTGAATGCATGCCATGTGCCAGATATTAAACTCTTTAACTGGTATTCAGGATCTGAACATTCCAGCCTTCTCTCTGGCTCAGCCTGACTGGTCTATTTGCCATCGCCTGAAAATGCTATCAACATTCCCATGTGCGAGTTTCTGTTTGAGAATGAACCGGGTTTTTTGTTTTTTTTTTTGAGATGGAGTTTCACTCTTGTTGCCCAGGCTGGAGTATAACGACACGATCTTGGCTCACCGTAACCTCTGCCTCCTGTGTTCAAGTGATTCTTCTGCCTCAGCCTCCCAAGTAGCTGGGATTACAGGAATGTGCCACCACGCCTGGCTAATTTTGTCTTTTTAGTAGACATGGGGTTTCTCCATGTTGGTCAGGCTGGTCTCAAACTCCCGACCTCAGGTGATATGCCCACCTTGGTCTCCCAAAGTGCTGGATTACAGGTGTGAGCTGCCGTGCCCAGCCTTTTTTGTTTTATTGTATTAATGATATTTGCATTTTGAACAAAAGCCAATTCATGTAATAATATATAATTTATGTAGGAGGCCCTAGACTTTTTTTTAATTTTTTTTTTTTTTTTTTTTTTTTGAGAAAGAGTTTCACTCTCTCACCCAAGCTGGAGTGCAGTAGCACAATTCTGGCTCACTGCAACCTCTGTCTCCTCGGCTGAAGCAATTCTTGTGCCTCAGTCTCCCCAGTAGCTGCGATTACCAGTGTGCCACCATGCCCGGCTAATTTTTGTATTTTTATTTCTTTTACTTATTTTAATTTTTTGAGATGGAGTCTCACTCTGTCACCCAGGCTAGAGTGCAGTGGTGCAATCTCAGCTCACTGCAAGCTCTGCCACTCAAATTCAAGCGATTCTTCTGCCTCACCTTCCCAAGTATCTGGGATTGCATGTGCCCGCCACCATACCTGGCTGTTTTTTGTATTTTTGTAGAGACAGGATTTCACCATGTTGTCCAGGCTGGTCTGAAACTCCTGACCTCAAGTAATCCATCCACCTCGGCCTCCCAAAGTGCTGGGATTACAGGCGTGAGCCACCATGCCCAGACTTACTTTTTTATTTTTTTGAGATAGAGTCTCGCTCTGTCGTCCAGGCTGGAGTGCAATGGCACGATCTTGGCTCACTCCAACTCCACTTTCCCAGTCAAGAGATTCTCCTGCCTCAGACTTCCTAGTAGCTGAGACTACAGGCGCCTGCCACCACACCCAGCTAATTTTTGTATTTTAAATGGAGATGGGGTTTCACCATGTTGGCCAGGCTGGTCTTGAACTGCTGACCTTAAGTGATCTGCCAGCCTTGGCCTCCCAAAGTGCTGGGATTACAGGTTTGCACCACGTCGACTAGTCTCCAATTTTTATATTTTTAGTAGAGATAGGGTTTTGCCATGTTGGCCAGGCTGGTCTGGAACTCCTGGCCTCATGTGATCCTACAACAAAACATATATATATATATAAGTTAAGTTTCTCTCTTAAGGGAAGGTAATCAGCATTAAAGATTTGGCATGTGTCCTTGCATACCTTTTTTCTTTGTCCCTGTACACAGACTACCTGTCTTTTTTTTTTTTTTAAGACAGGGTTTCACCATGTTGGTCAGGTTGGTCTTGAACTCCTGACCTCAGGTGATCCACCCGCCTTGGCCTCCAAAGTGCTTGGATTACAGCTGTGAGCCACCACGCCCGGTCCAGACTACATGTCTTTAAGTGTTGCCTCTTACTCCAACAAAAATAATACCATACTGGTCAGGCGTGGTGACTCACACCTGTAATCTCAGCACTTTGGGAGGCCGAGGCAGGTGGATCACCTGAGGTTGTGAGTTCGAGACCAGCCTGACCAACATGGAGAAACCCTGTCTCTACTAAAAATACAAAGTTAGCTGGGTGTGGTGGCACATGCCTGTAATCCCAGGCTGAGGCAGGAGAATCGCTTGAACCCAGGAGGCGGAGTTTGTGGTGCGCTAATTTGACGCTGCACTCCAGCCTGGGCAACAAGAGCAAAACTCCATCTCAAAAAAAAAATAGTACCAGACTCTATACCAGCTAAGTGTGGTCCAGGATTTTTTAAGGGGTCCCTAAGACTTTTGGGAGGTCTGCAAGCAGAACTGTTCTCGTAATCATACTAAGATTTGTCTTTTTCACGGGGTTAACTTTTTACAGTGGTGCAAAAGACATGGTTGGTGAAACTGCCGGCCCTGTAAGCTAAGCATGCATTTGTCATGGCAGTGGCACCAAACTATACTAATCATTGTGTTCTTCACTGCCACACACTTGCTGTAAATGTCAGTTTCACCTAAGGATATCGTTGATGATACAATAAAAAAGGATTAATTGTATTAAGCCCAGTCCTTGAATAAACAACTTTTTAGTGTTCTCTGTGACTAATGGGAAGTAAGCATGAAACACTTCTGCTGCATAACGAAGTAGGATGGTTGTCTGATTTGCAAGCTGAGCAAACTTTCTTTTCATAGAAAACTATTTTTTTTTTCCTTGAAAAAGAATATGACAAACTATGGTAATTCAGACCTGACTAGCTGATGGTCATTTTCCTGAAAATGAAGGAAAATAACTGATGGTATTTGTTACCAGTGATAAAATTTAAACACTCAAATGAAAAGTAGAATTTTGGAAAACTTATTATTTTTTCAAGATGGAGTCTCACTCTGTCACCCAGGCTGGGGTGCAGTGGTGCAATCTCTGGTCACTGCAACCTCTGCCTCCCGGGTTCAAGCAGTTCTTCCTGCCGCAGGCTTCCGAGTATCTGGGACTACAGGCACGTGCCACCATGCCCAGCTAATTTTTGTATTTTTAGTAGAGATGGGGTTTTGCTATGTTGACCAGGCTGGTCTCAGACTCCTGACCTCAGATGATCCGCCCACCTTGGCCTCTCAAAGTGCTGGGATTATAGGCATGTCCACATCGCCTGGTCAAGAATTTTGGAAAGCTTATATCTCCGACTCTGAGCTTAATAGCTTCCATGTACTTAAATACATTTGCGAAGAGATTAATAAATATAATCTCTTAAATATTGTATAATGATATGCATATTACAATAGAACAGTATATGAAGGGCGTTCTGAAGTAAAGTTTTAGGACCACTACTCCACACGTTATCCTGCAGCTTACTTTTTCACTTAGTATATCATAACACTATGCAGTGTCAGAACATCTTTGGTTTTTTGAGACTGCAATCTCCGCCTCCCGGGTTCAAGTGATTCTCATGCCTTAGCCTCCCCAGTATTTGGGATTACAGACGTGTGCCATCACGCCTGGCTCATTTTTGTATTATTAGTAAAGATGGGGTTTCCCCGTGTCAGACAGGCAAGTAGTCTCAAACTCCTGACCTTAGGTGATCCAACGTGCCTTGGCCTCCCAAATTGCTGGAATTATAGGCATGAGCCACTGCACCTAGCCTTAAAGTGTATTCCTTTAAAGGGATCCGCCAGCCTCTGCCTCCTAAAGTGCTGGCTAATTATTCATTTATTGATGGCCATTTAAGTTGCTTTCAGCTTTTTGCTAATTTAAATCCTGCATCAACGTATACCTTTTAAAGGCCAGGTGCAGTGGCTAGTGCCTATAATTTCAGCAATTTGGGAGGCTGAGGCAGGTGGATCACCTGAGGTCAGGAGTTTGAGACTAGCCTGTGTGACATGGTGAAACCCTGTGTCTACTAATAATACAAAAATTAGCAGGGCATGGTGGCAGGGGCCTGCAATCCCAGCTACTCAGGAGGCTGAGGCAGGAGAATCACTTGAACCTGGGAGGTGGAGGTTGCAATGAGCTGGGATCGCGACATTGCACTCCAGCCTGGGTAACGAGCAAAACTCCATCTCAAAAAAAAGAGAAAGAAATAGGGTTTCACCATGTTGGCCAGGATGGTCTCGATCTCTTGACCTCGTGATCTGCCTGCCTTGGCCTCCCAAAGTGCTGGGATTACAGGCCTGGCCTTGCCTTAGTTTTTTTTTTTTTTTTTTTTTAATAGATGGGGTCTTGCTATGTTGCCCAGGCTGGAGTGCAGTGGCTATTCACAGGCGCGATCCCACTACTGATCAGCATGGGAGTTTTGACCTGCTCTGTTTCCGACCTGGGCTAGAAACCTGGTGGTCCCCCACTCCTGGGAGGTCGCCATATTGATGCCGAACTTATTGTGGACACCCGATAGGCATAGCACACTACAGCCCAGAACTCCTGAATTCAAGAGATCCTCCAGCCTCAGCCTCCCTAGTAGCTGGGATTACAGGCACATACCACCGTGCCTAGCTGTCTTGGTTTTTTAAAAAAATTCTTACTCTGTCCCTGTCCTGTCTTACCTACTAAATTATGCAAATAGAAGCTTTTTGAGGGCAAGGATGGCTTGTACAGTGTATAGGCACTCAATGATGAGACAGCCTGAGTGTTGGTATGAGAAAAGGAGCCTTAATGGTTGCATTTGGATGAATGGGTGTTGAGAGAAGGTGTGTACATTTATACATTCTTGTCTCATCTTGTAAAATTTTTGAAAATAAGAAAGAGTAATTCTTCAACTTAAATTTCCTTATTTTAGGCAAGTATATCGCCTCAACGCAGCGACCTGACGGAACCTGGCGCAAGCAGCGGAGGGTGAAAGAAGGCTATGTGCCCCAGGAGGAGGTTCCAGTGTGCGTGGTTAGGCTTGAGGAGGGGTTTTCTGATGGGGTCCCTACAGAAGGATAGAATATCCTTATGCCTGCAAGTTCAGGGAGGACTCTTGCAAGCCCCAAGGAAATGCAAGGAGGAACAGCTATCTGAGAAAGGAGAGGAAGGGGCTGGGGTTCAGGGATGAGTGAGTGTTACAGATCACTAGACCTATGCTTTTGACCTCTGTTCATCAGAACCTCCAAAGCTTTAGGTTCTAGGGACTTTGCTGCACCTCTCCTGCAGAGCAGAGGAAAGCTGGGGAGGGGCCATAATAGAGAAAAGTGGCTGGGCAGGGTGGTGTACATCTGTAATCCGAGCACTTTGGGAGGCCCAGGTGGGTGGATCACCTGAGGTCAGGAGTTCAAGAGCAGCCTCGCTAATGTGGCGAAACCCCATCTCTATTAAGAATACAAATTAGCCAGGCATGGTGGCACAAGCCTGTAATTCCAGGTACTCAGGAGGCTGAGGCATGAGAACTGCTTGAACCCAGGAGGTGGGAGGTTGCAGTGAGCCAAGATTGCACCACTGTACTCTGGCCTGGGCAACAGAGCGAGACTCCATCTCAAAAACAGGCCGGGCTTGGTGGCTCACGCCTGTAATCCCAGCACTTTGGGAGGCTGAGGCGGATGGATCACGAGGTCGAGATCGAGATCATCCTGGCCAACATGGTGAAACCCCGTCTCTACTAAAAATACAAAAATTAGCTGGGCGTGGTGGCGCGCGCCTGTGGTCCCAGCTACTCGGGAGGCTGAGGCAGAATTGCTTGAACCCAGGAGGCAGAGGTTGCAGTGAGCTGAGATTGTGCCACTGCATCCTGGCAACAGGGTGAGACTCTGTCTCAAAAAGAAAAAAAAAAAACACAGACAAAACCCCATAAAAACAACACCAACAACAAAAAAGGAAGCAAGAATGTAATGAGGATGAAGTGTTTGGAAGTTTTAAGAAAAGGGATCAACAAGTCAGTGATTTTCTGAAACTGTTGACATCCTCTGTTTCCTGCAGATATGAAAACAAGTATGTGAAGTTTTTCAAGAGTAAACCAGAATTGCCCCCAGGGCTCAGCCCTGAGGCCACTGCTCCTGTCACCCCATCCAGGCCAGAAGGTGGTGAACCAGGCCTCTCCAAGACAGCCAAACGCAACCTGAAGCGAAAGGAGAAGAGGCGGCAGCAGCAAGAGAAGGGAGAGGCAGAGGCCTTGAGCCAGACTCTTGACAAGGTGTCCCTGGAAGAGACAGCCCAATTCCCCAGTGCTCCACAGGGCTCCAGGGCAGCCCCCACAGCTGCATCTGACCAGCCTGACTCAGCTGCCATCACTGAGAAAGCCAAGAAGATAAAGAACCTAAAGAAAAAGCTCCGGCAGGTGGAAGAGCTGCAGCAGCGGATCCAGGCTGGGGAAGTCAGCCAGCCCAGCAAAGAGCAGCTAGAAAAGCTAGCAAGGAGGAGGGCACTAGAAGAGGAGTTAGAGGACTTGGAGTTAGGCCTCTGAGGCTTTTGGGTAATAGGGAATGGACTGCCGAACAAACCATGGGGCTCTCTGGGGTCCGGGGGAATATGGGCAACAGCAGTCAGGAGGGGTACCCCCCATACTGGCCTACTTCCACTTCTTGTGGCCCAGCTCTGTCCTCCAGAGCCTAGCATCTCCCTCGATCCTTCCCTTGTCTTCCTAACTTCTACTTTTTTGGACTTTCCCTCTCTTTTTCCTGGTGTTCAAAATCTCAGTGACTACCCAAAGTACCTTTGCTGCTGATTTGGGTATCTTGTTTAAAAGAAAATCAGGTGGGTGGGAATCTCTCGGAGAACTGAGGCTGAGGGTAGAGGGAGTACGCCCAAGTCTTGGAGTCTTGGTTCCTGTTCGCAGTGTTTATGGGTTATTTTCCTCTCCGTCCCTCATCTTTTTTTTTTTTTTTTTTTTAAAAAAAAACAAAAACAAGAATAAACACAAGTAAACATGTCTGGCTTTGCCTCCTTATTTTCAGCTCCTAGTAGATTTTGTATCTCCTAAGTTTGGCCCAGGAAGACAAGTATTGGGAATTTTTTTTTTTTTGAGACAAGAGTTTTGCACAGTTTCCCAGAGTGGAGTGCAGTGGCGAAATCTGGGCTCAGTGTGCCCTCTGTCTCCTGAGTTCAGGCAGCTTTCCTGCTTCAGCCTCCAGAGTAGCTGAGATTACAGGTGCCCGCCACCACACCTGGCTAATTTTAAAAAAATTTTTACTAGGGACGGGTTTTGCCATGTTGGCCAGGCTGGTATCAAACTCCTGATTTCAGGTGATCCACCCACCTTGGCCTCCCAAAGTGCTGAGATTACAGGCGTCAGTTACTTCGGCTGGCCGATATTTCTGTTTTTTTCTTTTTCTTTTTTTTTTGAGATGCAGTCTTGCTGTGTCACCCAGGCTGAAGTGCAATGGTACGATCTTGGCTCACTGCAACTTCCACCTTCCAGGTTCAAGCGATTTTTCTGCCTCAGCCTCCCGAGTATGCTGGGATTACAGGTGCTCGCCACCATACCCTGCTAATTTTTGTATTTTTAGTAGAGACAAGGACCATGTCAGCTAGGCTGGTCTCAAAACTCCAGATTTCAGGTGATCCACCCTCCTTGGCCTCCCAGAGTGCTCGGATTACAGGCTTGAGCCAGTGCGTCCAGCCAATATTTCTTTTGATTTCTTTTTTCTCTTAGAAACTTCATGGGTCACTGGGTGTGGTGGCTCACACAATGAAGGCTGGGGGGAACTTCAGCGGGAGGCAGGGGCTGTTTGCTTCCCTTTCTCTAGGACCAATGAAGTTTTTTTTTTCGAGATGGAGTTTCACTCTTGTTACCCAGGACCTCGTAGATCAGTAGCAGGTCCAGCCAGTTGTAGTCAGTGAAGGAGATCTGGTCGCCTACAATGAAGGCCTGGCCTCTCTGGTTCTGGGACAGCAGAGTCTCAAAAGGCTTCAGTTGCCTGGGCAGTGCCTTCATGTAGTCACTAGTTTGCCTCATAGTTGGTGTAAATGAGGGTGAGGTATTTAGTTTTTTATTTTTGAGACAGTTTTCTTCTTGTTGCCCAGGCTGGAGTACAATGGCACAATCTCTGCTCACTGCAACCTCTGCCTCCCAGGTTCAAGCGATTCTCCTGCCACAGGCTCCCAAGTAGCTGGGATTGATTATAGGTGCCCACCACCATACCCGGCTAATTTTTTGTATTTAGTAGAGACGGTTTTACCATGTTGGTCAGGCTGGTCTGGAACTCCTGACCTCAGGTGATCCACCTGCCTCGGCCTCCCAAAGTGGTGGGATAACAGGCATGAACCACCAACCCTGGCCTGAGGTATTTAATTTTTTTTTTTAGATAGTTTTGCTCTCGTTGCCCAGGCTGGAGTGCAGTGGCGCTATCTTAGCTCACTTCAATGTCTGCCTCCCAGGTTCAATTGATTCTCCTGCCTCAGCCTCCTGAGTAGCTGGGACTAGAGGCTCAGGCCACCCCACCTGAGCTAATTTTTTTTTTTTTTTTTTTTTTTTTTTTTTTTTTTTAGTAGAGGTAGGGTTTCACCATGTTGGCCAGGCTGGTCTCAAACTCCTGACCTCAGGTGATCCACCTGCCTCAGCCTCCCAAAGTGCTGAGATTTCAGGCGTGAGCCACCTTGCCCGGTCAGAGGTATATAATTTTTTTAAATTGTGAGTTTATCACCAAATTAGCATCATTGTTTCCTGCATGTTTGCCAAGACTTCAGTAAAAAAAAATTGGTGTTATAATCAAATGAAACTGAAACTTAGAACAAATTTAACTTGACATGTTAATTAATATGTTGTCATTAGTGTGCTGAATAGCAATGTGAATTTTTATACCTTCCTTACTGTTTCTGGAGATAATCTTACTTCACAGCTGCACCTAGGACAGCTGTTTTGAAATTTCACCTTCTTAGATGCCACCCCAAGATGATATTGTGGGGCAAATTAATGACATATGTAGAAAAACTTAACAGCCAAAAGATCTGTCACAATTTTTACATGTCCTCTGGTTTCCATACCTTATTTATCGCAGCCTTTTTCTCTAGCTAGCTGCTAGTATAGTAGAGACAAAGGGAATGAGAAGTCAGCTGTAATGAACCATTTTAAGAGTTCAGAGTTCTTACCCTGACTCATAAGGTCACACATAATCTGGACGTACTTAACTCCAGCATCATATCTTTCCATTCTCCAATTCTGATCAAACTCTATTCTGCAGCTATACTGAACTTCTTTCAGTTCTTCAAATGAGCCATATTCTGTCTGAGCTTTAGTCCTTTGCTTCTGCTTGTCCCTCTTCCTAGAAAACTTCCTGACTCCCTAATGAACTTTTTTTTTAATTGATAGAAATGGGGTTTTGCCATGTGGCCTAGGGTGGTCTCCGGAGCTAAAGCCATCTGCCTGCCTCAGTCTCCCAAAGTTCTAGGATTACAGGTGTCAGCCACTGAGCCCAGCCCCTAATGAACATTTAAGAAAATGTTCATTAAAATAAGCCTTTATCTCTCTGTCTCTCTCTCTCTTTTTTTTTTTTTGAGACGGAGTCTAACTATTGTTGCCAGGCTGGAGTGCAATGGCGCAATCTCGGCTCACCACAACCTCCGCCTTCCAGGTTCAAGCCATTCTCCTACCTCAGCCTCCCGAGTAGCTGGGATTACAGGCATGCACTACCATACCCAACTAGTTTTTGTACTTTTTAGTGAAGATGGGGTTTCTCCATTATGGTCAGGCTGGTCTCAAACTCCCAACCTCAGATGATATGCCCACTTCAGCCTCCCAAAGTGCTGGGATTATAGGTGTGAGCCACCATGCCTGGCTACCTTTGTCTCTCTTAAATGTTATTCTCTCTGGGAAGCCTTCCTTTACTCATCGTGAGTAGCTGGGATTACAGGCATGTGCCACCACACCCGGCTAATTTGTATTTTTAGTAGAGATGGGGTTTTGCTATGTTGGCCAGGCTGGTCTCGAACTCCTAACCTCAGGTGATCTGCCTGCCTCGTC